AGTACGGTCAGCTGCCCCAGTTTTCCAGCATCTCCTCCACACTTAACGATACAAGGGCCTTTATTCTTTATTCCTTTTATTCTTTTCTGACATAGTTTGTTTTCCATATCAATGACAATTTCTGTGGTCCTTCCCTGAAGTGGTTCTAGTTTCTTCACTTTCTCCTTGAATGGTAGAGACTAAGGCTGAACATTATGTCACACATGAGATCTGAATAATACAAGACTAAATTTAAACTTCTTGGAATTTGGAAATTACGTCTCCAGTAACGTAGTTATTTATTTATTTATTGAATTTATATACCGCCCTATCTCCCTTACGGGACTCAGGGCGGTGAACAGGCGATAATAAAAACCACGATAAATATACACAAGTTTCTGTTCTAAAATCAAATTAAATAACAGGCCTGCTCTAAAAATACCCCATACAAAACCCCCACTAAAACATAATCAAACCACGCCAGGCCAGCCGCACGGAATAGATGGGCCTTCAGGGCTCGGCGAAAAAGGCGCAGGTCCGCAACTGTACGTAGGTCGGGGGGGGGGTAGGTCATTCCAGAGGGCAGGAGCTGCCACAGAGAAAGCTCTCCCCCTGGGGGTCGCCAGCCGGCATTGTCTGGCCGATGGCACCCTAAGGAGGTCCTCTCTGTGGGAGCGGACTGGTCGAAGGGAGGTGTTTGGTAGGAGGCGGTCTTGCAAATACCTAGGTCCATTGCCACGGAGCGCTTTAAAGGTTGTTACTAACGTACCCCAAAGCATAGTGAATCTTCTGTACTATACTGAGATCAACCTCACTGCAATCACCAAGGACTTGAACTGTCCCTAACCAAGAGCAAACCAGATCCATTGGTCCTCTAGTTCATTTCCACTGGCCCGGTTTGCACGTTGATCACTGAAAGGCAGAGAGAAAATTCAAAACAGAATGGAAAAAAAAATACAGGCTGAAGACAAGTGAGTGCAAGTATATTCCACATCATGCAGAGGTACAAGGAAGGAATACAACTTCATTTTTTGACATTTGCCTCCTTCCAATTGTTGGATCATTCCAGTGAAAGTGTAAAGATTAGTGAAAGCAGACCCTAAAAGGGAATCTGGTCATATCTCTTCCAGCTAATACATTTCATTAAAGGGTAACCTATCATGAACTTCATCAAATGCACAGAGTAGCTAGACTGATGCAGCATTTAAATTGTTACAATAAAAATAGTCCTGACCTATATGGGATTGGTTTCCTAGCCTGTGCTACCAAGTTGCGTTTACAAGACCTCATTCCACAGACTGTTCCATAAAGCTATCAAAAAAATCTGGTCTTAGGAATTAAATTATGGATAAATATGGTTGAATATTATGACCTCCTAGCAAGAGAATTGTATCGGGTTGGAATGCACATTGTCATTAAATTACAGCTCATCTCCTATTCTTTTGGCATATTTTTGTCAATATATCCACTAGGGAAAGGAAGATGGAGTGCCCTGCTATACATCAAATGCCATGAATGAAAAATGATTATGAATAACTAATGGACATAGGCACAATTTTCTTTTATAAGCCACAGTGCCATCAAAATTATGGGATTGTGAAACTGATTCATCGTGTCTTGGCGAATCAGCTCATCCATTCAAGATGAGGGCAATTCAATTCACAGAAGCCAATAAATGCTCAAATGTTCATCTATCCTAAGAAATTGGTGATCAAACCCAATTGTTTGAGCTGTGGTTAGAATTCAGTATTGCAGGCTAACTCAGCCGACTGCCAGCAGTTCAGTCCTGACCAGCTCATGGTTGACTCGGCCTTCCATTCTTCCAAGGCTGGTAAAATGACCCACATTGTTGGGGGCAATATGCTGACTCTGTAAATTGCTTAGACAAGGCTGTAAAGCAGTGTGAAGTGGTATATAAATCTAAGTGCTATTGCTATTGCTTTTATTTTTTTAACCGAAAGACATGTTTAGATAGATATTAACAGTTTAATTTTATACATTTTAACTCTTATACCATGGGACAATATATGTTTGTTTGCATATGTATACGTTATTTTTTCATTTCCTCTATGAAAACTAGCATTTATATTTTGTGACTTTTCTCTTAAATATATATATGTATTGCAGTAGCAATTTGAGCCTGCTTAACGCCCCTAGTTGGGGGGCTGCAAGGCAAAAGTGATTATAAAAAAAGTAGAACTGCATTATAGCAGTCAAAAATGCCAAGGTACAATCAATCGGACCGGTCTGTCTGAAAAACTTTCTGTATATATATATATAAACTATCCAGTACTGGAATTCTTTGGACAGTTTGTTAATTAAGAACTGAAAATATAGGGAAATAAAACAAGGATGGTAAAACAGTTCTGATGAATAAAAATAGAATCATAACCCCCCATAAAAGGGTCTGCAGGAGAGAAAAAATAGATAACGATGATTTTACCAAATGAGGCAGCATATGGAAAAAGTGAACAGATGGGGAATCCTAATGCCTTGCATTCCTCTGAATCTGGAAGAAGAGATGGAGAAAAATAATAACTTGGATTGAGCTAAAGAAAGAATTGGAAACAAATTTAGATAAGGGAGGGAGTTGAAAGTATGTGTTAGGTATAAGTGTCAAAAGATTATTTTTCATGTGTTGTGCTGAACAACTAAAAATAATTTACAGAGAGTGGGCTTAGGAAGCAGTTATTCTCAGTCAATAAACTGTCATACAGTCATTGACCAAATCATAAAAAAAGAAAAATATTCTACCTGTAGCAAATAAAAATGGAATAAAACTGAATATTATAATTAATAAATGGTGCTGTTAAAATACAGCATATTTTACAAGCAATAAAGCAAAACATAGCTACATTCAGAGAAAGAAAAACTAAGATCAGGCAATAATAATTCAGACAGAATTAATTTGAATCACCTGGAAATGAAGAACAATTATCATAGGGGAGAAATGTGTGATGATCTAGAAGTTCCCTTCTCTACCAACATATGTGTGATGACCTTTTCTTCAGAAGTAAAATGTAGAGCTACAGAGAGACAAATTAATGGAGGAGAGTGAGGTTGTTCAGTTGAGTAGCAGCTATGAGGAATGACCTCAATCATGGAATATTGTATTTTTTAATCTCTTCCTTCTTTGATCACTTTAAAACAGGACCATGTTCTCACTTCAAGAAAGCTCGTTGAATAAGCCATTTCTAAGAAGGCAATGGATGGAAAAGTTTTTCCTCCTTTTTTTTTGCTATTACGAGGAAATAATTTAAAGATTCTAGATCTAGGTTGAGACTTTAGAAAGAGTGCAGAGAAGAACAACAAAGATGATTAGGGGACTGGAGGCTAAAGCATATAAGGAACGGCTGCTGGAATTGGGTATGTCTAGTCTAATGAAGAGAAGGATGAGCGGGGACATGATAGCAGTGTTCCAG